TCAATCACCACCCTCCGGAAACCTCGGTCCCACGCCAATCGCAGCCCGTGTGTCAGACCCAACAGCTCCGCCTCCAAAACCGTACCTACTCCAATATTCATAGCAAAACCGCCGGACCAATGTCCCAATTCATTCCGGAGAAGCCCGCCCGCACTACTCCAGCCCGTATGCCTATTAACCGATCCATCAATGTTAACTTTGATCCACCCGACTTCCGGAGGGATCCACTTTACCAATCGAGTCTCGTACACATTCGCCCCCACCTTTCGATAATCCGCCACGGCTCGTATATAATTCTCGCTATCGTGCAGCACCATCTGAGACATCACACCCACGTTAGGCAAATTATCCGAGAACACTCGATCGTTCCTCCATTTCCATAGTCGCCACACCGACACCGCGAAAAGGCTGCTCCAATGGTCCACATCACCCAGTCGAGATTTCGTAAGGTTTTGTCGCAACCAGCCGACCAGTTCAGTCCCAAAAAAGTCCGACCTCGCAGCAGTCGGAAGTAGCCGTACCCAAAGCCGCTTAGCCTGTGAGCAGTCCCTCAAAACGTGGAGGACCGTCTCCTCGTCACCACAAAGCTCGCAGGTCCCAGATGTCGATATATGGCGGCGAAAGCGTTCAGAGTTAGTTAAAAGCCGCTGCTGCACGGCAAGCCAGAGGAACATACGGACTCTTTGTGAAGCTGGAGTGCGCCAAATAAGACGCCACAATCGGGGGGCCAGGTCCTGGTTACATGGCGATAGAGACTGATAAGCGGACTTGGTCGTAAAATTCCCATCCTCAGATGCCGCCCACATAATGCGATCAGCTCTAGCCATCGGGTTGGGGGGTTGAGTTCTGGCAATGTGTGATAGTACCGAGGGCGGCAAAACCCCATGGAGGCAATCCCATTTCCAACTCCCGCGATCATCTACAAGATCCGCCACTTTCGCACCAACGTTCGCCACTCGTTGAGGGTCCGAGACTTTCGTGATCAAAACGTCTTCCGTCCCAAGCCATGAGTCGAGCCAGAAACGAGCCATGTCTCCTTTACCCACCTGCCACCGAATTCCGCTCAAAACTTTTGGCCACACCGATCGGATGGCACGCAGTAAGGGGGAACCATCGCGCCGCGTGATGTAAGTCAGCCCGCCGGAAAAATCCAATCCATATTTGGCCTTAAAAACCTGTACCCATAAAGCTTCTGGCCTTGTCAGGAGGTTCCACCCAAGCTTCATTAAAAGCGCCTCGTTCATACGGCGAAGATCACGTAATCCCAGGCCACCCTCTTCGCGTGGTTTGCAAACATCTTTCCACGCTACCAGATGCACCCTTCGGCGATCGCAAGTGCCCCCCCACACGAAAGCGCGGGAGCGTCGGGCCAATCCCTCAGAAGTCGTGCTTGGAAGAAGACTCGTTTGCATAGTGTAGTATGGTAAGGTATTTAGAACGGATTGAGTAAGAGTCACTCGGCCGGCTAAAGAGAGTGATTTCATGCGCCAGCCGGCCAACCGCGTTTCTGTTCTCTCCACAATATGGGAAAATGTGGATCGAGTGACTCGTCCATGGATAATTGGGACACCCAAGTACTTCCCGAGGTTATCCGTCAAGGAGAAGTTCAAGGCCGAGGCTAGCCGCTGTTGCTCGTGAAGCTGGACATTGTTCGAGAAGAAGACCTGTGTCTTTGCGGCGCTCACCTTGAGACCAGAGGCGGTACAAAAGAGATGGAGAATTCGTGAGAGGACACAGACCTGGTCATCAGAAGCCTCCATGAACAGTAACAAATCGTCCGCAAACATCAAAAATGGGACCTGGACCGCGCCCCTCCCCACGGAAATCGGTCGCCATTCGCGAGCCTCAACAGACGCACAAATTAACTGCGCCAGCCTATCCATACACAACACAAAGAGGTAAGGAGAGATAGGGTCCCCCTGTCGCACTCCCCGAGTCGGCGTAAAATCGTCCCCGATAGCCCCATTCCACAACAAGTTCATGGAGGCTGACCGAACACAAGCCATGACGGCGGAAACAAAGATCGCTGGGTAACCGGCTAGTTGAAGCGTTTCCTCCACAAAACACCATCGAAGAAGGTCGTATGCTTTTTCAAGATCCACTTTAACTACCATAAAGCCTGTCGCCCCTCGCCTTCCCCTCATCGAGTGGACAATCTCTTGCGCCACGATAATATTATCCGTAATGTGACGACCAGGAACAAAACTAGCCTGGGCTGGATGGATGAGACCCGGAAGAGTATGTTTCATGCGGTTCACCAAAACCTTAGTGAAAATCTTATAAACCACATTAAGAAGGCTGATGGGTCGGAATTGTTTAATCGACATGGCGTTGTCCACCTTGGGGATAAGCACTAGAAGCGTACGGTTCACCTATCCCGGAACCACTCCCGATCTCCACATCCGGCGGAGAAAAGCGCACACGGTAGGCCCCACTATGTCCCAATGCTTCTGGTAGAAAAG